TTTACCGTGTTAGCCAGGATGGTCTTGATCTCCTGACCTTGTAATCCACCAAAAAAAAAATCCCAAAGTGTTGGGGGGTTTCACCATGTTGGCCAGGATGGTCTTGACGTCTTGACCTTGTGATCCACCCGCCTCAGGCTCCCAAAGTGTTGGAATTACAGGCGTGAGCCACCGCGCCCGGCCCTTATCCCTCTTTTCTAGGTTGATCTCCCTGGAGGCCACCAGTTCAGCCTTCTCACCCCAGGACCTGAGGGTCACCTGAACGGACCGTTTCAGTGTCCGCCGAATGTAAAAAAAAAATGTTAAAGCTGACTGTTCCCTCTGCCTAAAGACGCCCCTGATTAAGAGAGAAAAAAAAAAAAGTTCAGTCATAGAAAGCGACATGAAACCCAAGTCCAAGTTCATGGAACAAAAAAAAAAAAGGACAAAGCTGTATCCGGGGACAACCGTGTGGGCGGGACCCCACCTCCAAAAAAAAAACCTCAGGCAGGCAGGTGGTGTGCAAGCCTCCTTTCCTTAGTGGTACCCAAAACACCGAGGATGGGAGAATGATGAACACATTGATTAGCCGGCCTTGGACTGGAGTACATAAAAAAAAAATTAGGACTTATTTTGGTATCTGTCATAGAAAACCCCCCAAACCGGCAGCTTACACAAGGGAGAAGTTGAGATTGGTTCTCTCCCTTCTCTCCCCCATTTATAAGTCTGTGTTGATATCTGGCTCTGCTATCATCAGGGAACCAGGCTCCTGTCATCCCTAAGGGACTGCAAAAAAAAAAACATGTGGCAGTATGGCTGCCAGGGCTCCAGCCATCACGCCCACATTCCAGAAAAAAAAAAGGGGGAAGAAAGGTTGTACTTGTCATTTAAGAATCCTTCTAGAAGTGTCAAAAAAAAAAACCACGTACATTTCACTGGCCAGACCTTAACTACAAGGGCAGCTGGGAAGTAAAAAAAAAAAGCTCCCAAAGTGCTAGGATTACAGGCATGAGCCACTGCGCCAGGCCAAAAAAAAAAAAATTTTTGTAGAGAAGGGGTCTTGCCATGTTCCCCAGGCTGGTCTCCAACTCCTGGGCTCAAGTGACCTGCCCGCCTCTGCCTCCTACAGTGCTGGGATTGCAGGCCTGAGCAAAAAAAAAAGCCGGCTTATCTTTTTAAGTCCTGGCACAAAAGTTGCTTCCGTCCTCCATGAAGCACACTCTGGTGTGGCTCCTGTCACAATCTGGGCCTCTCTCTAGTTCTAGAGTGTTGTCTGCTTTTGTGTGGACTCCTCCGTCAGCAGTGGGAGGAGAGCCACGTCGCTTGTGTCTAAAAAAAAAAGTGCCTAGCAGAGTCTGGGCACACCGTGGCACTCAAACATACCCCCTGAAAAAAAAAAAACCAGCCTAGTAACACCTGGGAGCTGTCATCGAATACAGCAGTGTCATCTGTCCCATCTTGCCACAGATGTGAAACTGCAGGCCTGGCATGGATAAGTCGACTCCCGTTGGAAAAAAAAAAGAGGCCACTCTAGGAGCTGAGGCCAAAATCAGGAGAAAAAGAAATCCAGTAAAAAAAAAAAAAAAAAAAAAAATTGGGCACGGTGGTTCACCACAATGTTAATTCCAACACTTGTTGGAGGCGGAGGTGGGTGGATCCACCTAGGTCAGAGTTCAAGGACCAGCCTGGACCACCATGGTGGAAACGCCCACTCTTACCTAAACCAAAAAATTAGCTGGGGGAGTGGTGACACTGGCCTGTAATCCCAGCTACTTGGGACGCGTGAGGCAGGGAATCGGCTGAATCCCGGAGGCACGGGAGGTTGTCTGTGAGCTTGACAGTTGTGGCCATTGCACTCAGGGCCTGGGCAACAGAATGAACTCGCTGTCTTAAAAAAAAAAAAAAAAAAAAAAATCTATGTGCACAGTCATTTCATTTGAAACGGGATCGACCACAGTGGGGAGATGCCCACTGGGTGAAAGACGGCATGCACGGAGGCTCCTGGGCTACCACTCGGGTGGGTCCCAC